ACCTACCTGTGTGAGTCTGCTTTTTCACACATGAAAATCATCAAGTCCAAAAACAGATCCACAATGAATGATGATCATCTGGAGACCTGCCTGCGCCTCGCAACCACCTCATACTGCCCAGCTTATGAGACCCTGGCCTCCTCCTCTCAGTGTCAGAAGTCCCACTAAGGTAGAGACACATTTATTTTATACAGCTTGCATAAAAAGTTGTCTCCTATAGACACATCACGTTCTGTTTTATTTACTTTAAAGAAGTGAGGAGTAGGGATTGATGAAAAATTATGTTTGTTGATAATGAGACTGGACGAGTAGCTCTCGGCAAATTGCCGACTTCAAAAGTAGCTCTTGGTTCAAAAAAGGTTGGGCACCCCTGCCTCTACACCAAGGGTGTCAAACTCCAGGCCTCGAGGGCCTGAGTCCCGCAACTTTTAGATGTTGCACTGGTCCAAAACACCTGAATCATATGACTGAATTAGCTTCTCAGTGCAGTCAAGTTCTCCAAAGTCCTGCTAATGACCTCCTTACTTGATTCAGCTGTGTGGCGTCTAAAACACACATCTAAAAGTTGCAGGACTCCGGCCCTCGAGGCCTGGAGTTTGACACCTATGCTCTACACCATCTCGGCCCCCATAATAAAAGAATCTTATGACAATTTTAGCTAAACTCACAGTCACTGATACATTTTTATTAATATATATACATATATATATATATATACATATATATATATACATATATATATATATATATATATATATATATATATATATATATATATATACACACACGTTACATTTTCATTATCTTATAAATAAATACACGTATCATCTCTATCATTTTTACTGTAGTTTATCATTGTCATTGTTTACTGTTCTGTCTGGAGCAGGTCTCTTGTTAATGAGTCCTTGTGGCTCAGTGAAGCCAACCTGTATAAATAAAAGGTTGAATAAATCATTATATATATATTTATATTCATTCAACCTTTATTGATGCAGGTTAGTCCCACTGAGCCAATAGGACTCATTTACAAGAGAGACCTGGATTTTAACAAAGAGTGATGACAACAGTGGATAACAAACTGTTTTTCAATTGTAAAACAAACAAACAATAAAAAAAAAAACTAAAATTCTATGAATCATTTGTGAATGTGTATTGTTGTCATTGTTATCACTGTCTTATTACTATTACTTGTTCTTACTGAAGAACATTATAGACAACCCTCAGCATCCTCTTCATCAGACTGTCATACAACAACAAAGTGTCTTCAGTCAGAGGCTTCTTCAAATCCGTTGTAGGACAGACGCTACAAGAGATCCTTCCTGCCCACAGCCATCAGCATCTAGAATAACTCTTTAATGAAACCAGGATGATGAGTTACAACAACATATAATTTCCTTCTGGGATTAATAAAGTATTTTTGAATTTAATTGAATTGAATTGTCTTGTGCTCTGGTCCAGTGTCTTCATGGACGATGTGTGTGAGGGTGGACATGTTTGGAGGTTGCTGTGTTGAAGCTCCATGGATCAGCCTCTCTGCAGCTCTCAGCACCTTCACTGAGCCTTGAGGGAATCACTGAGCTGCTCTTGTTCTTCACAGTTAGAAGGTGGGAGCTCTCGTCAAATGATGATCTCCAGCATCTTCTTGTTCATGCCAGGCTTTTCATCCACTGACCACAGACACCTGGAAACATCAGGGGGACCAGTAGCTGTTTAACACATCTGGAAGGAAACCAGTGAGATTTTAATTTGACCATGACCATTATGATATGATGTTATGTGGGGGAGTGGTGGCACAGAGGTTACAAGATGGGCCTGTGATTGGAAAGCCGCAGGTTCAACTCCCGGTACCACCAACATCAAAATGAGGTGGAAAAGGTGAAACACTCACACCTGCCTCCACCCTCATTGGCCCCACTCTGGGGCCCCTGAGCAAGGCACTCAACCCCCACCATCTTCTCCCTAAACAGGTCCCTCTTGAAAATGAGTTCTCGTGACTCAATGAGACTACCTGTATAAATAAAGGCTAAATGAAATTAATAAAAGTTTAAAATAGAAATACTCACATCATGAGGCCGAGGTTGTGTGTGTGACGGGCACGTTCCTGAGGTTGTGTGTGTGACGGGCACATTCCTGAGGTTGTGTGTGGGACGTGCCCGTTCCTGAGAGGCCACAGACCGAGCAGCTCCAGCTTTTGTTGAGTTCCTTAGTCCTGCAGTTTTCAAGCTGAAATGAAAAAGCATCATGAATATGAACTTTACAGTCTATAGTTACCTGTTCATATAAACACGTGGAGGTGTCTCACCTTGTCACTGACAATAAAATATGTACATTTATGAACATTAATGAACTTGTAATGATGCACCTACTCTTTGAAGGTGAACCGATGGTACCACACCATCTCTCAGTTGGACAGTCTGACAGCCAATCGTGGCTGTTGTTCTGAGGCAAACGCATACACGTCACTCGTAGGTAACATTTACAAAAGCACAACTGGCTGGAATTTCCAGACAATCGTGCATCTGTTTGCGGACACAGATGCCTTCGGGGTTCACAAAAAAACTCTGACAGACAGTTGCGAGAGGCTGATAACAACTGATTACAACCACACATTCACGGAATGGTCAAATTATCGTATATTTGGCCTTTTTTGGGATTATTGATCGTACAGAGGGCAAAGTTGTCGTACAAATACGATAATTATCGTACACCTGGCAACACTGTCTCCAGGTCAGATTTGGAAAACATTGCCTTCAGTTTAGAAATGTTTCTCACATGATGAAAGCAGTTTTTTACCAGAAGCTTTGAATGTTTGTCCAACAACACTGACTGGTCGAACAGAACACCAAGGTTTCTGAGGCTCGGCTGAGAAGAGGAGCCCAGAGAACCGAGGTAATGCTTGATCCAAGAAACTCTGTTCAGAGGCAATGATCAGGGTTTCAGTCTTATTAGAATTTAACTGAAGGCAGTTGTTAGCAACTATGCTTTAATATGGGAAACAGTTTACTAATTCAGCTAACGTGTAATTCTGAGCCATTGAAGGTGCAGTACAGTTGAATATCATCAGCATAGAGATGGAAAGATGCATTTCTGAAGCTTCTGATAATCTTTCCAAGGGGGGTGATGTATAGAAGGAACAGAATAGCACTCGAGACTGATCCCTGAGGAACACCATACAGTAACGGAGTGGTCTTAGACATACATATATACAATACGTACGTACATACATACATACATACATACATACATACATACATACATACATACATACATACATACATACATACATACATACATGCATACATTCATTCATGCATTTATTTATTTATTTGGTGTCAAGAAAAGCAGCCAGAAAAGACAAATGGTGGAGGATTTTGTGTAGAGAATGTTATTGGTTTTAAACACCTTTTTCAAAAGAGAGAGGATCATAGGGTAACCTAAGAGTGGAGGAAGAAGTACACATGTAGACTACATTCTGTGTAGAAGAGGTTATGTCATTTAGACAAAAAAAAAAGCCAATAAGGAAACTTGGTGGAAGAATAGTGAAGTTCAGGAAGTGTTAAGTGGGACTGCATCAAGGATTGTCTCTAAGCACTTTCTTGTTTGCTCTGTCCATGGACCGACTAACTGATGAGGTCAGGCAGGAATCTCCGCGGCCTATGGTGTTTGCAGATGACACCTGTGGTGAGAACAGGGAACAGATGAAAGAGTCTTTGGAGAGGTGGAAGTATGCACTTGAAGGTAGAGGAATGAAAATCAACTGTAGCAACAACAAAAAAACAACAACATGCATTTGAATGAGAGCAGTCACAAAGGTGCAGGACTTTAGGTACTAGTGTTAACTTCAGGCAAAGAAGTGAAAGAATGGATCTCGTCTATGGAGTGGATGGAGAAAAGTTTCAGGAGTGATTTGTGACAAAAGGGTGGCAGCAAAGATCAATCAAAAAGGTTTACAAGAGAGTTGTGAGACCAGTAATGGTGTATGGTTTAGAGACAGAGACACTGACAGTAAACAGGAGAAAGAACTGAAAGTGACAGAGCTGAAGATGTTGAGGTTCTCCTTAGGAGTGACAAGGATGGATAAGATTAGGAATGAGATCATCAGAGGTACAGCACAGGTTGAACAACTGGGAGATAAAGTTAGAGAGACCAGACTGAGATGGTTTGGACATGTCCAGAGGAGGGACAGTGGGTATATTGGTAGGAGGATGTTAGAAATGTAGCTGCCAGGAAAAAGACAAAAACGAAGGCTATAGAGGAGATATATGGATGAAATTAGAGAGGACATGAAGATGGAGTGAAGACAGAGTGAGATGGAGAAATAAAACCCGCTGTGGCATCCTCTGAAGAGTGAACTGCAGAAAGAAAAATGAGAAGTGTTGCAGCTGCTGTACTGATGGAGGTATGGGTGTGGTGGTCATACAACATAATGTAGCAAAACGGAAAAATCTACAAGAACTAGTTGCAAAGAAATTGTTTTTTTCAACATGGCCTAGGTGTTTGCACAGACAAAAATAAGCAACTCTTTAGTTGGTATTTATATACTCTTTATTTTGCACCAAATAGTTTTTGGGTTTAAGGACAGATGCTAAAATGTGCCCTACATGAGTCTGCATGCAATCATCTTAAGCACAATGCATTCACTTCAGTGTTCTGTTCTTATACTAAGTCCAGTTTTGACCAAAAAAAAACCATTTAAATTGGTGACAACGGTCATTTCTTTTGTCTATTTTGTAAAATGCATTGCATGCGTATCGCTGGCTCTTCTGATCTAAACTTTTTTTTAATTGAATGAGAAGGTAAACAAAAGTGCAAAAATGCAACAATAGTATACATACAACAAAGAAAAGAATGCAACACTTACCCATTTAGATGTCAAACATGATTTGATCCTTAACCTTTTGTGACCAAATGAATTTTAAAAATGCATCTGAAAAAAAGCAGTGAACATCTGGGTGTGTCTGTTGCTACTATATACCTTTTAACAGGAGCTCTGCAGACACAAGAACCCAGCGTTCTCTGTGCTGCTCAGACTGCAGTTTATTCAACAGAAAATTTATCCTAACACATTTTCAGGAGATCGTTTCTGACTGTGATAAATCAACATGAAGACACACTGTTCAGTAATAGCTGTCCTGCTGATGGCATCTTGTCTGTTTGTGCCCTCTTACTCTGTTCCAATTAAACCAGGTAAGTTTTTTAATTTTGTGTTTATCTCTAAACTGTTTGTTTGTTTTACTAGTCACCCTCATTAAGTCACCACTTCTCTAAAACCAGGGATCTGTCCAAATGGCCCTCCGTGGATCGGTGAAATGCTGCCGATACAGCTATATTGCGACACTGACTGGAATTGCCCTGATGGTCAAAAATGCTGCTGGCATCGCTGCGTCTCTCTTATTCCTCCACGTAAGTCATCTTCCAACGAAAATTAGAAAATGTGGAAATAAACAGGCAGGTTAAGTCAAGAATGTCCTACTGGTTTAGCTGAATTACGTGAATTCGTTTGACAAAAGCTTCACAGTGTAGTGTCAGAACCATTTAAAGGGTTTCAATAAGAATCTGATGGGTCATAGGATGGATTAAAATAGGATTTCTGAAATCAAAATGTGATTTGATGATAATTTTACTTTTACTGTATATTTGGGGATTAGATTCATCCCAGAAACAAATGTTTCCATCTACTGTTTGGATTCATGTTGGAGTGGTAGTAGAACAACATGGTGGTAGCTGAGGCTCACAAGATAACTCATGACAGAGTCAACAGCAGAATTTAATGCCCAAATGTTTAATGAAAATATCAAAACAAATATTAGAATTTAAGAATAAGTTGGGAATGACTCGGTTATTACCGCAGCAAAATTCTCTTCAGCATCTGTAAAACTGAGTTTTAGTCATTTTTATTTTTGATGAAGTTGCTTAGCTGTGGCAGTCAACTTGAATGATGTTAACTCTAAAGCTTAATCAACTGTGGATGTACATCCAATGATTATTTCAGAAATATGTTTAAAAGATGTAGTGGTTACTGAGAGCGTTCCTTTAAGCAGTGCAAGACAAAAACAGACTCTTCTCAAAACTCACATTTTGTCAGAAGCTAAAAGAAACAGGATTTAATAAAGTAGCCATTAATAATAACGTTAAATCTGTTTAGGTGACAAAAAAAGTTGTGTTCAGGCAGTTAAAAACACCGTCTACAATCAAAAATCTACTTTTTCCATCTTTTTTTCTCAGCCGTTGGCAAATGTCCAGTGCGAAAATTTGGACCATGTATTGAGGCATGTGGTGTGAACAGACCATGCAGAGCTGGTAAAATGTGCTGCCCTAATGGATGTGGGCAGCAGTGCATGACACCCGTACCAGGTGAGATATGAATAAGGTGGTAAAAGTCCTCGATTATTCTCCGCCTACTGATCCTATGAGCAGATGGATTGTTTTTGTGTTTCAGAGCTGCCATGATTTTGAGGTAGAGGACGGTTCTTCCCTCACTGTCATGAAAGCTGATGGTGATTGCAGCAGCGGCAAAAAGTGTTGTCTGAATAGATGTGACCAAACCTGCCAGCAACTCCTTATGTTGTTTGTTTCTTCAATACAGACATATTGATTAAAATATCAGTAAACTGCTTATGTGTATGTTTTTGCTTCAGTACCTTTTCTTTCCTATGCCTAGTTCTTCACTTATCTTTTTTTTTTACTTAGTTTTTATTGATTATCTTTTGCTAACATAACAGAACCAACAGATATTGGCAATAGATAATAGTCACAATCCTTTTCTAAACAACACTAGAACGTTCCTGGAGAAACTTTGATGGGGACTGCCTATTTATATGTATATGTAAATTATTATTAATAATTAATATTAATTATTATTAATATTAATTATAAATGCTAATTATTATTGTTGATTATTTATATATTGTTAATTTATTAATATTAATAATTAATCAGTATTATTCATATTCACACCAATAATTAGTATTAATTTTAAATATTACTTATTACTATTAATAATTATTTATATTAAAACAGATAATTATTAACATTAATAATTTATAATTAATATTTATTATTAATATTACTAATTAATAATAAAAATAGGTGATAATAGGTAATAATAGGTGCCTTCCATGCATTGCATAATGCACTGCCTTTCTTGCATGTTGAACCAAAATGGCTCCATATGTTACTCAGTTTCTGTGGCGTTTTCTCCTATTGATTTCCTATGGTAAATTTGGCATCTTTGTTAGCAAAATATGTTTCAATGGTAACTGTGAATGCCAATAAAAGTAAGTGCACACTTCCCGGAGCCAGGCTGGTCGTTTTGATATAACTTTTGTGGGGGTCCATGTTGCGGTTCGGTATAAAAAAACGGTATAAATGTATAGACCGTATTGACCTAATATATATATATATATATATATATATATATATATACCCCAGACCTCCCCATATATTGATGGGGAGGTCTGGGGGTCCTCCCCCAGAAAAAATTTGAATAAAGTAGAAGTAATTTCCTGCATTCTGGTGTATTTTAATGGTTGTTTAACATCTAGTTTTACCTACATAAGTAAACACTTGGAACACCTTGGGATTCCCCTGGAGGAGCTGGTCCAAGTGGCCGGGGAGAGGGAAGTCTGGGCCTCCCTACTTAGGCTGATAACCCCGTGGATGGATGGAAGTAAACACTTGATTCAGTAACTATTTTAGAGTTGGCACAACAAGAAGTAACCTGACCGACAACTGATTCAATTAATTAAAAATATATTCAAAGGTGACGATTTGATGCCCAAATAAAAATTAAATATCTGTAACTTAGTTGACTTCAAATGTAATAAGATTATCAAAGAATGTTTGCAACAAAGGATTTACTGAGTATAACAAAGATTCCTTCAAGAAACCTCCCAGTATAAATCATTAAACCGGTATGACTTCTGCTCATTCTAAATTTGTCAAATGGCCTAAATCTCCTAAATTGAAGGAGAATCATTTAAAAATAATAAATAAGATATATCCTGTAGTCATGTTTCTGCAAAGAAGATTTAAATTTGATGTTGATTCTTGTGTCTTCTGTAAATCCGAAGATGAATCCCTCAAGCAATTTTATTTTCATGTCAATACAAAGTCTTAGGTCAGACATCAGAAACTGGAATAATCTCAAACTTATTATTCCTTCTTTTCATGCTGATGACATTTTACTTTATGTGGATAACTGAAGCTCAGCTTTCTCTGATGCCATAAATATAGTCGTACTTATAACAAAGTACCACATTCACTGTAGTAAGAGGAGAGATAATAAGCCTTCCTTCCTGTTTGATGAACGATTTGAAGTCATACTATTCTTCATTAAGTAGATTAAAAACTGCAAAACTTCTAAAATCATCTCACAACAGATACAGACTTATTGTTTTAATTAAAACAATGTTTCTCAAGAAAAAAACCTGATGAGTTTGTCAGCAGGTAAGGGGCGTTTACCTTCGGGACAAATTGAGGTTGTCGATTGGTCAGTTACTGACACGCCTTCTGAGTTGATAGACAGGTCGCGCCGTAGAAGATCCGATTGGAAAAAAAAAACGAGAGATGCATCAGCTGCTGAAGTAGGAGCGATGTGAAGGGAGGGAAGGAGTTGAGGAGCAGCAGTGGGAGGTGCGCAGATGAGGAGGAGGACCAGCCTGCCGTGCTTCAGCAGTGGCTCTGAACTCCTTGACAAGGGAGGCGGAGGACCGGGCACAATTAATGCAGAAACCTCCTCCTCTCGACGAGCAGTGGAACGACAGCCTTGCCCAACAGCTCAAGGAAGAGCCTCCTCCTGTCACGCCTGGCGGCCATCCAGCTGGGGCGGAGCTCCCTCCACACAATGAAGGCATTGTAGCACCAAACATTGAGCATGTTGTGTAAGAGGGCCACCTTCTCCCTCAAGGGGCGGCAGGGGTGGCGGCAGCGTGGTCAGGAGCAGCACATTCCTGTTCTTCTTGGGCACGTGGCAGAGCAGAGTGACCCAGTGCGTATAGGCCAAATGGGTGGTGGACGGCAAAAGTCCTACTAAAAAGCCCAACCCCTCCAGGAGTTGGACTTATTGGGAAGGACTTTTTGCAAAAAGTCCTTCCCAATAAGTTTAAGAGGAGTTGCCTACCCACCCACCCCCCTCCCCCGCGTCCCCCTGCCATTCTTTTAGCTCAGTTTGGATCGTTTTAACCCGAGGGCAGCCTTTCATTTTCCTGGAGGGAGAAAGAATCAGGTCATTTTGATCCGAGGGCAGCCTCAGGTTGTTTTAGCTCAGGTCCTTTAAACACGAATGATGGTTCGGGTCATTTTGATCCGAGGCAGCCTTTCGTTCTATTTCGTATAGGCTTCGCCCTTTAAGAGATGTTGCTTAGTGGGTTTATCCCGTTATGCGGAGCATTACACTGAAAAATTTAGTCCACGCCCACCTGCTGTGTGGGCCCCACCCGGTCCGTATAAATTACGTTAAGAGCGGGAAATCGAAGGGACCCTTTTTTACGTCCCACGCCTTTCCCGCCAGTTCGGATGATCCGGCGGGAAGGTTGTTTACTGGGTTCCATTCCGGCTCATCGTCTTGATCCATATGGCCTCATGTTCCCAACAGGACGTCCTACAGGCGAGGCCACAGACGGTTTTTTCCTGGTAGATTGGGGGAGCCGGTCTCCACAGTACGCACTCATCTCCAGAGCAGGGGTTCACTGAGCGGAAAGTCCCTCCGTGCCCCCTGGAGCCGAGCCTGATGGAGGCTTTATTGGAGCAAGATGTCGAGGTGGACCAGCGTCCCGTGCCTCCGGTTAGCATAACCGAGACGGTGACACCGCTCTCCAACTCAGCTCACCATCATGTGTTCCACACGGCTGCAGCGAACAACACGTTACGCTGTTGGCGTACACGTTCAGAGGCGGGAAGAGACGGTGGCCCTCTGTCCTTTGGCATGAAAGCGCACACGCAGCTCTCAGCGCCCGCTGTTCACGTTAACGTGAGACCGCGGTACGAGCTCAGCAACGTATCTCGCTCTCGGCAGAAGTAACACACGTTTTTTCATTGCAGTGGTGTCAAACGCGCGCTCCTGCGACGTCAGCAGCTTCACAAGCTTCACAGCGGCTCGGCTCCGGCTTCCTCGAAGAAGGTTTTTCTGAATTAATACTGCAGCTCGTGGAATCACTCAAAAGTTCACGTGACTTGCAGCCATGAATGAACGTGTTTCTGCAGACCGAGGCAGTGGTAGCCTCGCTCCACCGATGCCACCCACTGCTTCCTGACCGCACCAGTGCCAACGCGCACTCCCGCGGCGTCAGCAGCTCCACAAGCCTCACAGCGGCTCGGCTCATACATCCTCGAAGAAGGTTTTCTGAATTAATATTGCAGCTCGTGGAATCACTCAAAAGCTCACGTGATTCGCAGGCAACAATGAACGTGTTTCTGCAGACCGAGCCAGTGGTAACCTCGCTCCACCGATGCTGCGCGCTGCTTCCTGACCGCACCAGTGCCAACGCGCGCCCCCACGGCAATCCTGGCTTAAAGATTCGCATGAATGAGGACGCACACACACGACCCTTCAGGGCACGTCGCCTCATACGTGCACCCGCTTCCCGAGCGTTTACATGGAGCAGCTGCACAAAACGTGAGCACAACTCAGATGAGATGCTTCTCGCAGCATCAGCAACACACAACGATTTGCATGCTCGGGGACGCGCGTGTTTTTTCTTTCTCACTCAGCGCGCTCCAGCTCACATCAGCATGCATGTGAGTTTCACAGCATAAATGCGTGCCCGCTTTATAACTTATAAACGGGTGGCAATGAATGCGCGCTCCAGACGGATGGGCGAACCGTTTTCATCCGGGATTCACGCTGCAGTTCAACTCAAACCCTGGTGTGGAGGAACTCTGTGACGTTTTTTCTGTCATTTATGAACAGATCTCGTCCCCTCTCGCAGAAGCTCAGGAAATTCTGTTTTAAATGTAATTTCTAGAGTCTCAGAAGGAGAGGAAAACGCAAGGTCCCTCTCTCATCACTTCCTGGTCCCAATGAACTGGAAAGATGAGATTTATTCTAGATTGTCAATTTCTGAACTGTGAGAAACAACACTCCATTATGCGCCCGAGCCGCTTTAATTCTGCTTTATTTGGACACCTGCTGCTGCTGAGCAGTTTGTACAGACAGGTGGCAGCAGTGCAGCTCACGTGAACCGGTTGAGTGATATCAGCTGTTTTCCGTCAGCAGACCTACGTCACACATGTCAGTTTCTCACAGAGGCACATACATTTAACAAGCTGTGAGGCCACTGTGGCTCTCCACACAGCAGCTCTTTTAAATGTTTTTGGAGTGTCGCACAGGATCTTTGAATGTGATTCAACACTGACCTTGAGCTGCAGAATCATCAGGGTTTTTTGATTCACACAGACAGCAAGTGACTGTTGCATACATACTGGCAGGAGATGTATGCGCTCAACCCATGTGCCACATTGTAAGACAGATGCTGTGTGGGGCACACCCAATCTGCTTTCCATTGGAGTGGGTACATCTCATGTATTCCGAACAGGGGGCGGATGTGATGCCCAAAGACGGTCCTTTGCGGCACGGGGACCTGGGACTTTCCACCCAGAGCTATGGCTCAGACACGGTAGAAATCCTGCCAGCGCCTGTGGACATGTAGCAACATGAGAGAACGCTCAATGTCAATTATAATTATCGTGGAGCCACGGGACGATCCACCGCTGGGTGGACGTGC